TATATATATATATCATGAAAACAGCAACTGCAAGGAAACTGGAGTGACTATACTAATATCAGACAAAATAGACCTTAGAACAAAAAATATATATATTACTAGATATGAACAGGAGTATTTTATAATCATAAAAATGTCAATTCATCAGGAAGATATAATAATTGGAAACATGTATACCTGTAACAACATTATACCAAAATACATGAATTAAAAACGGCAGAAACGAAGGAAGAAATAGACAATTTAACAATAATAAATGGAGACTTCAGTGCCCCACTTTCACGAGTGTATAGAACAACTAGGTAGAGATCAACAAAGAAACAGAAGTCTTGAACACATTAACCCTGACATACATCTAGAGACTACACTACCCAACAACAACAGACCACATGCTCTTCTCAAGTGCACACAGAGATGAACTCTGTGTTCATGCTAGGCCATAAGACACACCCTGATAAACTTTAAAGTACAGAAATGATAAGAAGCATGTTCTCTGACCACAATGAAATGAAATTAGTAATCAATATCATAAAGAAATTTGGGGAATTGACAAATATGTGGAAATTAACCCTCTCCTAGGTAAACCGAAAGGGAAAATAGAAAACAACTTGAGATGAATGAAAATGTAATAAAACAACATGTAGAAATTATGAGATGCGAATAAAGCAGAGGTTACATGGAAATAGATAGCTATAAATGCCTATACTAAAAAATAAGAAATATCTTAAATCAGTAACCTCACTTTCCACTGTAAGGTGCTAGCAAAGAACAAACTAAACCCAAAGCAAGTGCAGGGAACAAAGTACTACTAAAGATTAGAGAATAGAAAATCAACAGAGACAATTCATGAAACCAAAATCTAGTTCTTTGAAAAGATAAATAAAATAGACAAACCTTAACCAGATTGATAAGGGGAGAAAACATGAAATGAGTCAAACTACTGAAATAAAAAAAAATGAAAGGGGATATTAGTACCACCCTACAGAAATAAAAAGGATTCTAAAGGAATTTATTTACCAATAAATTAGATCACTTAGATGAAATGGACAATTCCTAGAAATACATGCTCTACAGAAACTGAATCAAGAAGAAATATACAAACTTAATATACCAATCACAATAAATTTAATTAGTGATTAAAAATACCCACAAAGAAAAGTGCAGAACATATGTCTTCATGAATGAATTCCCCTGAATATCTAAAGATTACCCATTCTTCACAAACTCCTGCAAGAAATAGAAGAGAATAGCACACTTCTTAACTCATTCCATGAACACAGTGTTACCCTGATACCAAAACCAGACAAAAACATCACAAGAACAAACTACACACCAGCATGCATACCTTATAAATACAGAGCAAAAATCTTCAGCAAAATACTAGATAGTGCAATCCAGCCACATGTAAAAGGAAATACATATCACGACCAAGTACGATTTATCTCATTAATGTAAGTTTGACATAACATCTAAAAATCAGTTAATGTAATACATCTTATCAATTTAATAAAAGCACCAAGATAACATGATTACATTACAGACAGAGAAAACACATTTGACCAGACCTAATATCCTTTCTTGATAAAAATGCTCAACAAACTAGGAATACAAGTAAAAGTCCTCAAGATGATAAGGGGCATCTATGAAAGATGCACTGCTAATGTAATAATTAATAATGAAAGACTGAATTCTTCCCCTTCCCCTTTATGACCAGGAACAACACAAGAATATTATATCTCACCACTTCACCCACTTCTCTTCATCATTGTACTGGAAGCCCTTGCAAGGGCAATTAGGCAGGAAAAACAAATAAAAATATATCTAGATTGGAAAGGAAGAAGTAATACAATTTCTATTCACGTGTGACATGATCTTATATGTAGACAATTCTGAGAAATCCACTGAAAAACTATTAGAACTAATAAAAGAGCAGAGCAAACTTGCAGCATACAAGATCAATATAGAAAAATCAATTGCATTTTTACACATTTCCAATGAATGATTAGAAAATGAAATTAAGAGAGCAATTTCATTTACAATAGATCAAAAAGATCAAAACACTTAGAAATAAATTTAATCAAGGAGGTACAAATCTTATAATCTGAAAACTACAAAATGTTGAAATGAATTTTTAAAAAATAAAAATAAATGGAAGATAATAGATGGAAAAGTATCTCACATTTATAGACCAATATTATAGATTCACATTGTTAAAATGGCAATATTTCCAAAGTTAATCTACCATGTAAGTCCTATTAGAATCCTAGTTAGCTTTTTTGTAAAATTTGTCAAGCTAATTCTAAAATTCATATGGAATTGTAGGGCAGTCAGAATAGCCAAAATAATCTTGAAAATGAATAATAGAGTTGGAAGGTTCACATATTCCAACTCTTTGAAAACTTATATTGCGGACAAACAGCAATCAAAACAGTGTAGTCCTAGTAGAATGAGGGACTTGTAGATCAATGGAATAGAATTGAAAGTTCAGAAATGAAGCCATGTGTCTATGTTCAACTGATTTTGACAAGGGCACAAGATCATTCAATGGGAAAGATTAATCTTTTCAATAAGTGATGCCAGGAAACTGGATAGCCAAGTGAAAAGAAAGAAGTCAGACCTTTATCTCACATCATATATAACAATTAATTCAAATGGATCAGAGACCTAAATGTAAGTGTTAAACTATAGAACTCTTAGAAGAAAACATCAAGGTAAATCTTCATGACCTAGTGTTTGCAACGGATTCTTAGCTATGGCATTAAAAGCATGAGCAACAAAAGAAAAAATAGATAATTTGAGTTAATCAAAATTAAAAACTTTTGTGCTTCAAAACACACCATCAGGAAAGTGAAACACAATCCTCAGAATGGAAGAAAATATTTGCAAATTATGTTCTTCATAAGGCATTTGCATCTACACTATACAGCTCTTCCAAATAAATAATTAAATCCACATAACTCCAATACAAATGGGAAAATTATTAGACACCTCTCCAAGAAGATATACAAGTGACCAAAAAGCACATAAAAGAATGCTTAACACCAGTAGTCATCAGTGCAAATCTAAGTCACAATAAGATGGTACTTCATACCCACCAAAATAGCTGTAATCAAAACATAAGACGATAGCAAGTGTTGACAAGAAGGTGGAGAAAACCTAATCCTCACACACTAGAGTCACTTTGGAAAACAGTGTGGTAATTCCTTGTTTTGGTCAGCTCAGGCTGGGCAGCTTAAGATAAACATATTTCTCACAGTTCTGGGAAGGCTGAGAAGCTGAGATTGAGGTGTCAGCCAATTCCTCACATGGCGGAGAGAGGGAGCGAGTTCTGGTGTCTCTTCCTCTTATTATAAGGACACTAAATCCCAACATGAGGGCTCTACCCTCATGGCCTCATCTAAATCCAATTCTCTACCAAAGGCCTGTTCTCTAAATACAGTCACATTGGGGGTTAGAGCCTCAGCATATGAATTTGGGGGTGTGGGGGAGGTACACAATTCTGTACACAACATTCCTTAAATGGTTATTTAAACATAGAGTTATCATCAGACCTAGCAATTCCACCCACAGACGTATACCCTAGAGAAATGAAAACACATCCACACAGAAATTTATGCACAAATATCTATAATAGCATTATTCAGAATAGCCAAAAGGTGGAAACCATCCAAATGTCCATCAACTGAGGAATGGACAAACAAAACGCAGCACAGCCATACAACAGTGTATTATTCGACCATGAACAGTAATGAAGTACTGACACATGTGACAACAGGGCTGAGCGTTTCAGACATTATTCTAAGTGAAAGAAGCAAGTTACAAAGGCCACATATTACATGTTTCTGATAATATAAAATTTCCAGAACGAAAAAATGTATTAAATTGTATTTATAGAAAGAAAAAGCAGATTAGCGATTGCCTAGGGCTTGGAAGAATGAGGTGATTAGGAACTATAACTTAAAAAAGGGCATTTCTTTTTGAGGTAATGGAAAATGTATAAATTAAATATGTCAACAGTCGCACATATCTTGAATATACTGAAAACTATGGAATTGTGCATTTCAAATGGGTTAATTTTGTGGTATATAAAGATATCTTAATTGAACTTAAAAATCTAGAGACTAGGTCGGGCTCAGTGGCTCATGCCTGTAATCCCAGCACTTTGGGAGTCCAAGGCGGGTGGATCACGAGGTCGGGTGATGGCAGGTGATGGAGACCATCCTGGCTAACATGGTGAAACCCCATCTCTACTAAAAATACAAAAAAAAAAAAAAAAAAAAAAACAATTAAAAAAATTAGCCGGGCGTGGTGGCGGGCGCCTATAGTCCCAGCTACTCGGGAGGCTGAGGCAGGAGAATGGTGTGAACCCGGGAGGCGGAACTTGCAGTGAGCCGAGATCGCACCTCTGCGCTCCAGCCTGGGCAACAGAGCGAGACTCCGTCTAAAAAAATAAAAATTAAAAAAAAAGTCTAGAGACTAACAGTAATTTCACGGTCTTTTCTGATTATAAAAAAGGTATATTATTCAGTAGTGGTAATAAGAATAGCAATAACTATAAATAGCTTTAAAGTAAATAGTGTATGGTTAAATACAAAATAAGAACAAGAAGAAGAAAATATTAGCCCATAAAACACATAATACAAAAGTGAAATAAGAGGGTCCCATAGCTTTGGTGGGTGGGGCAGTGTAACAGGCAGGGATATTACTTTAAAACATGATTTTGCTCTTTGATAGGATCATTTTCGTGCAGTTATGTCAAAACTGATCATTCAAAATGGCTTTGTCAAATGCCCCACGTGGCTGTGGGATTGCCCTCTCTGCAGCAATCAATTCATCTCCCAAATGTTTGATCTGCTAACAGCTATTGTGGCCACCTCCCAAGAATCCACAGCCCATTCTTTCATTTCAGGCCGTTAAATAAGCTTTTTAAAATCTAGAGTCTACAACCACTAAACTCCTACTAATTTTATTGAGAAAAGAGAGTAAGTAAATTGTCTCACCCTAAAACCGAATCATTCTTCATTCTCTTTATCCTTTTTCTTTGCTGTCCAGGGACTCACAGACTCACATCCGGTTTTCTTTAGCTTTTTTTTTTCTCTCTCTCTTTCTCAGTCAGCCTTTCAGGTCATTCTGCACATTATTATTCAAATAGTTTCTCCAGGGCACATTTTTGCATTTGTTTTTTTAAAATAACATTTTAACATGTTTATCAAATAATCATATACATATTTATATAATTATTATGTAACTATTCAGCAATAACAACATAGTTTTAAAAAATTGTTATATTAAAAATAGAACTCTAGACTAAAGAGAGCTGATATGAAAAAAAATAAAGCAGAAACCCAAAGGTTTACTTCTTTCTTTTTTTTTTTTTTTTTTTCTGAGATGGCGTTCTGCTCTGTTTCCCAGGCTGGAGTGCAGTGGCGTGATCTTGGCTCACTGCAACCTCTGATTCTGGGTTCAAGTGATTCTCTTGCCTCAGCCTCCTGAGTAGCTAGGATTACCGGCGACCGCCACCACACCCGGCTAATTTTTTTGCATTTTTAGTAGAGATGGGGTTTCACCATGTTGGCCAAACTCTACATGCAGCGCAACTGTTTACCAGCTAGACTTCTCCATTCTTTAGACATTTACCAAGACCCTTTAAACCAAGAAGACACTGTTACTCATGATCTCAGCTACTGAGATGGTTGCCTTGGGTTTGTTCTTGACTTTGTCTTCTCTGATTCCAAAAAAAAAAAGTGCATCCACTGCTCATCTCCTACGTGGGAATGCTACTAATAGACTTGCTTCTTCTTTAATGGCATTATTTAACATGATTGTAAAAATGATATAAAACATTGCTCTGACTACAATTGCAGCTTTACCAGTCGAGTATTATTTCAGAGCTAACACCACTGACCACTGAAAGAATAAAAATTCAAGAAAGACTATTGAGGTACAAAAAGAAATCCAACACAGATGTTTCAAATAAAAGAACTTTAATGAGGGAGTTATATAGAGAGTTGTCGAAAATGTTAAGGTAACTAGTAAGGGCTGCTGAGACAGCCTGACTTGGAACGGTGAAAAACTGTCAACACCGGTAGGGCTGGAAGGGCAGGGAGATGAAAATGTGCTGTTGGAGCCCTGTGAGAGCATCAGGCTGGAGGCCAGGGTCACCCAGCAGGAGCTGCCATCACTGAGGGACACAGACACTGCCTGAGCCATGGGGGTTGGGAGTGGGGAGGGAACTGTCCCAGATAATCTCTCTCGCTCTCCTCTTTTTCTCTGCCTTTCTCTGCATTCTAGTCTTTGATTTCCAGCCAGTGAGCTCAGGGAATGAAGTCCATAGGAGTCAGCTCCCTTATGCATAAGGAGGGAAGAGCTGGACTGGGAATTTTCCCGGGGAGGCAAAGGTAGAGCACGCTAGTCTAGGTACTCGGGAAACAGAACCCAGGCATCTCAGGAAACATCCTTGGACCAAATACCTAAGATCCTACTGCAGCTACCAATCTGTAGCTTTTCTGCAAAGCCAGGATAGCCTCCAAGTGCTATTTCCAGGGCTGAGCAGAATCTTCATTTCCCTCTGCTATCTCCTCGTAATTTCACCTTTGGTGAAGACCCCTCCTTTCATGGTGATTCTCAATGGACATAGACTACGCAATTATAATTTTCCTGGGAAAAGATCCAGAAGTAGAAGTGGGTACACTGGCATTCCTTTGATGGGGTCTAGGATGAATATTAGAATGTTCAATCAGACAAGGAATTCTGGTTGTTGAGAACCAGCTGCAGGTGATCATCTCCTTTGGAGCAAGAGCAAAGCAGCCTCTGCTACCACATGGTTCTGTCCAAAGGCCACAGCCTCTCCTTTCTTCTTGAGACTACTGCCCATACATGGAATAACCATTTCTCACATCTTTACCTAGTTTACTCTCAAAATGTAAGGCTATACAGCCATTACCTTGTGACCGTCATAATAACTAAGGCTCTGTTATTGACTAGCACAGACGTCATCACAGAATAGACTCGGAACTCTCTTGTGCCTGCAGCCTTGATAGTTAGGGGAGTATTTGTGGAGTACATCATGCTATTTGGTCTGTCATACAACATCAATTTCATTGTGCCTGTATCAGCCAGGGTCACAGCAGGGAAAGAGTTCCACTCCAAAGACTCAACTGAAGAGATTTTAATGAAGGAGCAATTTCAGAGGTGTGAGCAGCATTAAGGGAACCGATGAAGGATGTCAAATCGCCCAGAAGTTTTCAGTTATGGGAAACTATTACCACTTTTAGTGCAGAAAAGGAAAGTTGGGGGTGCTGATAATGCGGTCAGAGCTGGAGTTCTGCAGCAGGGCCTGCCAGGCAGATGTCGGTCACGGAGGGACACAGCTACTTCCAAACATGAGATGCATGTGGGCTGGGGGAAGTGAATTCCCCTCCCTACTTCTCTCTCCATCTGCCTCTAGTATCTGGCAGATGGCCTCCCTCTGGCCACACTTCACCCTTCCCAGGAGCAACAGCACTCACGTAGGCTGACACATGAAGGTCCACCTGCCTGGTCCATTACAAGACAGAGGAGCAGGTTGGAAAGGGGCAAGGCATGAAATGGAAAGTAACCAGCCCCGCATCCCTCCATAGGAACCTTCTAAAACTACTTTATAATATTGGGAGAAAGCTAGATTTGAATTCTTGCCAAGAGGACGCAATTACAGAAGTGCTGAAAGATTTTGCTAGTTACATAACAAATGCCCAGTCAAACCTGAAAACAGCATTATAGATTCCATTTTAGGGCTAATAGTCTGGTTCAGGCACAGAAGTACTAAGAATACAATCCATTTGTGTGAAATTCTCTACATTAAACACACACGCATTGCATATTTTTTCATTCTGTCTCATCAGTAACCATTTTTAAAAACTCTTGGGGAGTAACTCAACTTTATTCCCTAAAGCAACCAACTAAACTGTGTTTTTTTTTGTTTTTTTTTTTTGTTTTTTTTTTTGAGACAGGGTCACGCTCTGTCACCCAAGCTGTAGTGTAGTGGCACAATCATAGCTCACTGCAGCCTCAAACTTTTGGGCTCCAGTAGAAATATAACTTTACTTAATTTCCACTTTCTCCAAATCTCATCAACATTCAGTGTATGTAAAGGTACCATTCAGTACCTCTAATGTGTGTGTGTCTTGCACATGTACAACTCTTTCTCACACACAGAATCTACTATAGAACTGGAAAAGAGAGCATAAATAGCATCATATTGATGTTTGAAAAACTGCATAATTTCTCACCTCAGGCTCCCCAGTAGCTAGAATTATAGGTGCCCAGTTAATTTTTTTTCTTTTACTTTTTGCAGAGATGGGGTCTCACTGTGTTGCCCAGGCTGGTACCTATTATTGTGAAATAGTGGGATTGTTGTTTATGGAAGTTACTGTAAATGTAAATAGAGTACTATGACTTAGCATCAAAGCACGGTGGCTAGGGGGTTCCATGTTGCCTTTTTTTCTCCTGTTTGGTATGCAGAAAATTATACGGTTCCTTCCACTCCAGTTTCATTGTATCTGTCACACCACAAATAACACGATCAATCACAATTTGTGTCTATGGTCAAATGCCTTGTTTCTCTAAATTAGGTATTTTAACTGTCTTTTCACTTTACATCAGAAAAAATTGGTTATAGACTCCAAAAACAAGTCATCTTAGTAAAGTGTTATGAGGAAATATTGCACTGCAAATGACAATTTTACCAAAGTTTCATTGAGTTTTGGCTTTTATTAGGACAGTATTCCTCTAGTTTAATCTCCTAATACAATTGTTCTCATGCCTTTCACTCTTTTACTGCAAGAGCTACATCTAATAAAGCTAACTATTCTTTTGATATTATTTTGAAGTAAGCTATTTACACAGTGGTAGCCCTAATGACTCCAGAGACTTTAAGATTCTTGATATTTTTTGTTAACATTGTAACATCTAGGACTAAAAGTAAACTACGTTTTACATTTTCAATATTTACATGGATTCTTTTTTGATTGCTAGTTTTATAATCTCATGTGCCTTTGGAGAATTATAGATGAGTGGCTAATTTCCAATTTAGGTAAAGGAAGGAACCTCTTGATAAGTTAAATGGATGCATTTTCTTAACTGAACACAAGCAAAACCTACAACTTTGAGTGTGGCAGGTAGCGTCCTGCAAGCCCAGGGCTATGGTCCTCTGTGTTCTGTGCACACAGAATGCAGGGATGGCACTTGCTATGTTTTTCCTGGCAAAACCGCTTCTTTCAGGGAAATGAGAGACCTGCCACAGTGAACTCCTAGCATGAACTTTAAGACTCAGAAACATACAAGGCAGTCCTCCACCTAATTTTAGGCTTTTCATTCTCCTGCCCCCAAATGAGCAATAACCTGTCAGAGATGTTAAAGAAATTTCCTACTGGGTTCCGTTAGTAGGGATGCTTCCTCCCCCTTCCTCACTCGAGGGGGTCCAGGAATTGGCAATGTGCTCTGCTTTCACACACCCTACGCAGAAACACAGCTATCCGCAGGTCCAGGAATAACCCACCTCCAGGCTCAGTGGACTTCTCCAGCTACAATTACTTGTTTGATGAGTGTATAGTTTTAAGTACCAGTTCTAAGACTATGACTCACAAACTTCTATCTCTGCCCTGGATATCTCCTGTGAACTGCACATGCACCTATGCAAATGTCTTGGCGACATCTGTATTTGGATGACAAACAGGCATTTCAGCTGTAACACATACAAAACTGAACTCCTGACCTCTCCCTAAAAGCTCCTGCACCATGCTGTTCCTGAGCTCAGTAACATATGCTCATGGATGCTCTTCCCTTCAGGCACTTAGGCCTAAAACCTGGTAGTGATCCTGACTCCTCTTTCTCCCCACCCTACATGTAATATGTCATCAAATCCCATTGTCTTCAAATATGTCTAGGATATGAACACTTCTCACATCCATGAAAGAAGGGCAGGCTCCTATGCCAATGAAACAGTTGGAGAATCTGAAAATCCTCTTGGAGTTTAAAAATGTACTCACTAAAATTTAAATGTCACTAAGTAGATATCACTTCATGATACTCCAGGAACTGAGCTGGTAATTTGGAATCTCATCTTGAGCAATTCTATATAGCTTAAAAAGAAAACCAGATAGAAATGTAAGGAAAAAAATTCG